CTGAACTGGATGTTATACAACCACTCCCCTCGTTCGCTTCCCGGAGAACATTTTCCTCGTGCTAACTATACTGAAGAGATCCGTGAAGTAATCACCCCTTCCGTTCATCTCGTGCGATGAGATGTACAGATATCTCAATAATAAACAATAGGGTGTGCTTCCCAACTTATCAACACTGCTTCCACACTTTTACTAGATTTTTTAAAAATTTGTATTATTTTTTAAAACTTTTAACATTAAATATGTTTTTATTTTTAATATTTTATATAAAGATATGTATTATATACATTATATTGGAAATGAATAATTATGAATTGAGAATAATTATAAGTAATAATTTAGAAAATTATTGTTTAAAAAAATAATTTATTAAAGAGAACTAATTATAAACAATAAATAATAAGAAGGGGCTACAAGCCAGATTTTTATGTATTTCAAATTCTTGGAACATACGTTTCGACCTTATTATTAGGTCAATCTGTGTATACATGTTAGAGCACGTAAATTTAACAAAATTAATAAAATGATTAGATACAATTTCTATAGATTATAGTTACGCAAAGTGTTGGTAGTATTCCTTCATATTTATCTTCTGTCGCAATAATGCAATGCTTTCAGTCTTGTAATGTTCTTAGTTACATTTTTTCATTATATTGATCGCAATTAGTCCATAATGATGATAAAATTATTTAAACATGTTGAGTCATTCAATAAAAATGTATCAGCATACATTCTCAAATGCAAATATTTAACAAGAATATAAACCAGTAGTTGAAACAAATTAATAAGTCAAATTAATTCACACGAAGCAAATGCGATCAGAGTTAAAATTGAAACCAATTCAGCCAAAAATTACTTATATTGTATTATTTTATATAATAATAAGGTCGAAACTATATTCTAAGAATTTGAAATACATAAAAATCTGGTTGCTTCTTGTTATTTATTGAAAATATATAATTTATATTACATATATGTGTATACTGTAAATTTTTGGAATGGGCAATAAATATTGAACATATAAGATAATAGTATCCTGCTGAAATAAATCGCTGAAATCACTGAAAATCACTGAAAATCTCTATCAATTGATCCATATTTCATTATAAATTATACTGAAATATGTCTATTGATAAAAATTTCACCGATTTATTTCCACCAGAGAACATTAACATTTAAAAACAATGTTTAATCTATTATCTGTTTAATCTAAATTCTTACAAAAATGAATACATTAAAATAACGATATTAGGAAAATAAAGAATTAATAAAACTGTAGATAAATTTAATATAGAGAATGTTAAGAATCTTTATTTTAGACCGCATATGTGAGAAATACAATCAATACGAGAAATTTAAAATGCCTATTACGGTCGAAGTTGGATCTTTATTGCTTAAAATAATTCAATCTTGAATTACTAATATACACTATATATGTACTTGCATATACCATATTGTAGTCTTTTCAAACTGCGCGCCGAATTATTTTTCCGGACTATAAACGCAATTAAAACTATTCTAGTAATCGCGAACTAAATTGACAAGCAATTTTAATAATTTGATGCTACAATCAAGCAACATATTATAAAGATGTTATTATATTGAAAAACTGTTAATAAATTTATTACGAAAAATATTACCTCGGCTGGAACTTGAATCCGGATCTCTTGTATTCCATACGAGAGTCCTAAGCCATTAGACTACCGAGGCCTTAGGACTCGTACGGAATACAAGAGATCCGGGTTCAAGTCCCAGCCGAGGTAATATTTTTCGCAATAAATTTATTAACAGTTTTTCAATATATTAACATCTTTATATAAACTAGTTAGTAGAGTTTCAAGTTTGAATAGTTATTTCACATTTAATATCAAATTAATTATGTTAGCTAATGTAATTTTAAAATCTAATAATTTATTTTAGCATTATTTAAAAAACAGTATAATTATTTAGAATATCTTCCCCCCCTACCATAAATCTTAATAAAAATACAATACTTATTCGACGTGTTTCCACTCAAAACGAAAGAATCTGGCAAAAAAAAAAATGCGGCGATCGGCCTCATGAATCGAGTTATTAAGCATTAAAGTTGGAGACTTTAGAGATTAAACTATTTATCATCCAGATTTGATACAGCTCTATGTATACATTCTGCATTAATTATACAAATTCACTGCTTTAAAAACACAAATTCATTGTTTTATAAACACAAATTTACTGCTTTAAAAACACAAATTCTTTGCATTAGCAGAGAATCTCTAAAGTCTTCAACTTTAATACTTAATAACTCGATTCACGAAACCGACCGTCGTGTTTTTTTGCCAGATTTTTTCGTTTTGAGTGAAAACACATCGAATAAGTGTATTTTTATTAAGATTTAAGGTGGAGGAGAGGGGGGGGGGAGTATTCTAAATAATTACCAAAAAAAGTAACTAAAAAGTAACGAATCGTTACTTTTCAAGCAATAGTAACGGTAACGCGTTACTCTTTAAAATTGGTAACGAGTTACTTTTTTCAAAAATTAACGATAACAGTAACACGTTACTTTTTGAGGTAATGCGCACAATCCTGTATATGTGGTATAAACTATTATTGTATTATAGAGTGTGGATCTATTTATTATTATTTTAAATATACATACATCAAACCTGATAACATCAATTAATCAAAAGCACTTACTGGTTGATGGCTGTGAACCAGAGAGATTGGTTGACAAGTGTTGCGGAGATTCAAGATTAGTGGATAACAGTTCTACAGGTTCTTGCGATGGTGCATTAGAAGCAATAGGTGATTGAACAGTTTTAGCCTGAGAAGATACATGACTCGCAACTTGCTGTATTTCAATTTTCGACTGATCTATTGATATAGTGGTTTGTCCAGCATTTTGAGCAGGAGACCGATACGTTTGTCTTTTAGCGTAACCAGTTTCATTTTTAAAATTCATTACTGCATTACGTAAAAATCGATTTGGTATAAGAGTTTCCGGAGAGACATCTTTCTCATTACAATCTGGGCATTCATGTTCTTCGGATTCCAATAAAAGTGTACGAATACCTGTAATATACAGAAATTTGTGTCTGTGAGTGTGAGTGTGTGTACATCTTTATTATATTTACACATAGTTATACACATGAGCCGACTTTCAAAATGCATTTTGTCTAAGATTTCATTTTTTTAGTTAAGAGATAACGGAGTGTTTAGTGTCTAAAAGACTCATATTATAACTACTCTGAGATGTTCAAAATAAAAAAAGCATTTTTTCATCGTTAATTTATATGCTGAAAAAACGTAGACATTTTGAAGTGTTTTTTTTTTTTACCAGAGACAAACTAGATGAAAATTAGAAACAAACAAAATGCATTTGTTTAACCCTTTTAACAATTATTTAGCAATTTTGATTAATATTTCACATTATACTGATTGACATATTTTCTATAAAGTGCGTAGTTTTCATGTGTGCGTAGTTTCTTTCTTGTTTTTTGAAAATTACAAATTTTGGATGAAACACATTTTGAAAGTCTGCTCCTCATATATATATGTATATACTATATGTATATACATATATATATATGTGTGTGTGTGTGTGTGTGTGTGTGTGTGTGTGTAAATATGTGTAAATGTAATAAAGATGTAAAGATTTAAATAATTGATATCATAATTAATAAATTGGTGAGATTTACATTCATCACAAAAGGAATTTCCGCAACATGGAATCATTACTGCGTCCGTTAAAAGATCTTTGCAAATACTGCATAACAAATCCTCTGGTATCTCTGGCTTCTCTGCTACTGGTTCTGGATCTTGCGAAAATGGTGGTCGTTCCTTCTTACCTTCCTTATAAGCTTGACTAAAAATAGGAAAAAATCACAATTACATATATAATTATAAATAATTTATTAAAACCATAATGCAAATACACAACAACTAAGAACATTAAAACCTATAACGATCGAAGCTGGATCTTTAATGCTGTAAATAATTCAATGTGAATTATCAACAACAATAATAGATTAATTAATGTAATTAATCAACAACAACAATAATAATAATAATAATAGTGTATCAAACCTAAAATCGATAAAATATTTTTATGATATATATAAAAGAATGCACAAAATACTTCACACAATTAAAAACAAAGTATGAATGAAATAAATAAATTATTTGTATAAAATATTTTCATTTAATTTTATCTTTTAATCGAGTAGCCAGTTGCAATGTACTTAAAAAAAAAATTATATTAACAGTAATTTCGCACAAACAAAAAATAGTTCTGCGTTACGGATAAACTGCTCTATTTGCACACAATGTTTCAGAATTTTCTGAATTTTTGAGTTGCCTAATCTTCCTTGTCAGATCGTTTGGATGGGCTGTACAATATCAACAGCAAATTATGGTTACACGAGCGCCTCATACAATATGGCGGATATATCTCGGACAAATTTTTATAAAATCATTTAAAAAAATTTGTAATTAACTAATAAATATGTATAAGTGTCTTTAAAATTTAAAGGTTTTAAAAGTTATAGTTAAAAAAAAAATTCCTAAATTTTTCCTATTTCTTAGCACTTTAGACTAAGATCCCCTCGTGAACTATTTTGTACATATTTTGATCTTTTTATTTATATTTTTTTATTTTTTTTTTTTTACTTTACAATTAAACTTGTAAAACTTTCATTTTTTTGCTATTTTAACAACTAAATTGTTAAAATTTCTATTAAAGTAAAAACAAAGACACAATTATACATCAAAAATATAATAATCTTTCTGTAATTGCACTACTGCCAAAATATCTAAATAGAAATATAGAATAATTTTAAGTAATTCAATGAAAAGCTAATAAAAATTATCAATAAATTACCGTTTTACCATAATTTTTACTGTTAAGTAATTGAAATTTGACGTCTAATTTTACATCTCTACCGGTATTATATTAGAAAGATATTAATGTACTGAAAAACTGTACAATTAAGATCGCGAAGTGAAATGCAACTGATAGCCTTATTTCGCATGTTAAAAGATTCATTCAAGTATTTTTTTCAAGTCTATAGAATCATGTGAGATCAAGATTGTTTATATCGTCCAATATCCGAAATAATAGAATTAACCGTTTAAACAGTTATATCTCGAAAACTGTTAATTTTAGGAGATCGCGCCCATTGATACTTTTAATCAAAACATCTGGAACTACAATTTCCCGAAATATGAGAAGATTTGACCGGGAACCAAAATCTATAAGAAATGTGTTGGGTCCTTTATTTACAGTTTTTTCAGCACATTAATATCTTTCTAATATGATAAGATTAAGCATCAAATTATTAAAATTTTACTTGTCAATTAAATTTAATTTGTGATATTATTAGTAGTTTAATTGCATTTATAAATCTGGAAAACACCAATTCGGCATGTAGTTTGAATGACTACAAATATGATATATATGCATGTACATATGTATATAGTATATATATACTATATACATATATATAGTATATATATATATATAAATTTCACATTAAATGACTTAAAGCATTAAAGATCCAGCTTCAAGCATTATAGGTTTTAATATTCTTACTTGTTGATTATATATATGTATTATATCTATAATTTAGTAATGCATATTGTATTGCTTACTGATCAATAGCAGGAACAGCATAATGTCCTGTAGGTGTCATCATAGCACCAGGTACCAAAGGTCCTTCAACTGGTACCATAAAACTTCTGGGAATACCTGTGCTCTTCTTAATTTCAATTGGCTCTTGATTTGTGCCTAGTGGACAGTTTTTGATCCAATGTCCAGGTTGGTG